TCCATTAAAAAAAAGTCATAGTATAGTATGCCATGTAATTTTCCATGAAAAAAGTCATAGTATAGTATGTCATTAGATATTTTCGTAAAAAAAAGTCATAGTATAGTATGTCATTAGATATTTTCATAAAAAAAAAGTCATAGTATAGTATGTCATAAAATTTTCCATAAGAAAAAAGTCATAGTATAGTATGTCATAAAATTTTCCATAAGAAGTCATAGTATAGTAATAAATTTTTCATAAAAAAGTCATAGTATAGTATGTCATTAGATATTTTCATAAAAAAAAATCATAGTATAGTATGTCATTAGATATTTTTTAAAAAAAGTCATAGTATAGTATGTCAAAAAATTTTCCATAAGAAGTCATAGTATAGTAATAAAATTTTCCATAAAAAGTCATAGTATAGTATGTCGTAAAATATTTCAGAAAAAAAGTCATAGTATAGTATGTCATAAAATTTTCCATAAGAAGTCATAGTATAGTAATAAAATTTTCCATAAAAAGTCATAGTATAGTATGTCGTAAAATATTTCAGAAAAAAAGTCATAGTGTAGTATGTCATAAAATATTTCATCAAAAAAAGTCATAGTATAGTATGTCATAAAATATTTCAGAAAAAAGTCATAGTATTTCATAAAATTTTCCATTAAAAAAAGTCAGTGTAGTATGTCATTAAATATTTTATCAAAAAGTCATAGTATAGTATGTTGTAAATATTTCCATAAAAAAGTAATAGTATAGTATGTCATAAAATATTTCATCAAAAAGTAATAGTATAGTATGTTGTAGATTTTTTCATAAAAAGTCATAGTTATGTTACGTAACTAATAACTATAAGTAACCCTGATAAAAACCCTCAAATGGGGAAACAATAGAAGAAACATCATAAAGAGCAACAGAGGAGGAATCACTCATCCAGGATGAACAGACACACAGTAGATGTTGTGTCTACCTAGGAAACCTAAAAGGCATATGGAAAATCAGCGTGACAATATTATAGTCAAAACTTTGCTTATTATTAATGGGTTTTTTTCTTCCTACATTAATGTGTCTTATCTGAGCTGTCCTTATTGTAAAACTGCTGCAGGAGCATGCTAAAGGAATTTATCTGGGTCACTTACAGACTCAAAATACTTCGCAGGCAGCAAACTTGAAATACATTTTTAAATCTGCACTCACATCTTACATAATGTAAAAACACAGAACCACATTCTCCCTTTACAAATTATTAATCAGCTGAATATTAAAGATTCACAGTTGGATGATTTATGTAACCCACTTTCGTTTTTTTCTTTTGCACCTGAAGGCATTACATAAGATCAAACACATGACCTTAAATTGTTTCTCACACCATTCTGCATCCTTTCAGAGCATGAAGGCTGGCGGCCCCTCCTCCAGCCGGGTGGTCGACCCAGGCAGCTTGCCCGTCCCTGCTCAGTCTGGGATGAGCCGCAGGGGGAAGACTCGCACTCCCAGCGTCCCTGAGATGAGCCGGGAGGCTGGACTGGAGCTGCTCAGGGAGCGGCCAGAGGAAGCCCTCTCCCCAAGCCGCCCTCAGGTCCTGGAGACCCCTGAGTCCCTCAGCGATTCTCTGTACGACAGTCTGTCGTCCTGCGGCAGCCAAGGATGATCCAGCCAAGGACGGGGGAGGACAGACAGGAGCTCATCTAGTCCACAGACAATAAGACCCAGCACCGCTCTGACTCTGAACATGTCTCCTGGTTGCTGGTAGAACTGTGATGCTGCTGACCCGCCGCCACCTTTGAGGAAAAGAAACCGTGCCCTGTTGATGTCCGCAAGAATATTGTGGTGACGATGCTTTTCTCATCAGCTGTTTTCTCTCTTGCAACTGGAAAGATGGATCGATAGACTTCTCCTCAGGATTACAAATAAACATGAAGCCAAAAGCCACCCCAAATAATATAGGTTGTTCACTTTTTTCACAATCAGACTGGACTGTGGACACTCTTTAATTCATGTGTATACAGGACTACAAAACGCATGGCTAAGCTAATGATTAGCACAAAAGTTGTCACTCCTGGTAGTTGTTCAGCAACTTGTCTTTTGTTTTAATCATCCTGTAGACGGACACGTTATGTACATCAAAGAAGAGCTGATCAGTTCAATCGCTGACGTACTGTATTAATACATCCATTCTGTTCTGGATATCATTTCACCACATAATGTGTTGAAGAAAAAAAACATGGAGCTCCCTAAAAAAAAAAGAATGTTCATGTCTGTGATTCTTTACTGCTAAACTCATGCATCACGATTTTAAATGTATAAACAATTTTATTGATCATGTTGATATTGTTTTGCGACCGAGGAAGGTTGTCAGAATACGTCTGTTTTAAATCATAAGACATTTAAAGGTAATATATACCAGCAATAATAACATAGATAAGAGAAATGGCTACACTATTCAATGAATATGTATTTCTATTATTTATTTATTTTAAATGTACATCATTTGCAGTCATCTTTTTTCTTTGTGTAATCTTTCTGTGAAAATTGCAGTCTCCTCGCTTAGTAGATTACGTTCATATCTTGTATTTCAACATCTTCGTTGCTGTTCGTTCCCTAGCCAATAGAGGTCCTATGTACCTACTGCCGTTTTTCAACTTTCTAATTAAAATGTTTTGATTTACTTCTTTGTGTCCAGTAGTTATTTTGCCCATTGGTATCAGTTACATAAAAACTCATAGTATAGTATATATTTCATAAATAGTCATAGTACAGTATGTCATAAAATATTCCATGAAAGTATATAGGATTCTATGACTTTTTGATAAAATATTTTATGACACACTATACTATGACTTTTTTGATGAAATATTTTATGACATACTATACGATGACTTTTTGTATGGAAAATTTTATGACATACTATACTAAGACTTTTTTGATTAAATATTTTGTGACATACTATACTATGACTTTTGATGAAATATTTTACGACATACTATACTATGACTTTTTGTATGGAAAATTTTATGACATACTATACTATGACTTTTTGATTAAATATTTTATGACATACTATGCTATGACTTTTTTGATGAAATATTTTATGACATACTTTACTATGACTATTTTTATGGAAAATTTTATGACATACTATACTATGACCTTTTTGATGAAATATTAATGACATACTATACTATGACTTTTTTTAATGGAAAATTTTATGACATACTATAAGATGACTTCTTTTATGGAAAATTTTATGACAAACTATACTATGACTTCTTTGGTGAGATATTTTATGACCTATTTTATGACTTTTTTTTTATAGAAAAATGAATGACATACTATACTATGACTTTTTTGATGAAATATTTATGACATACTATATTATGAATTTTTAGGGAAATTTTGATGACATACTATACTATGAATGTTTTGATGAAATATTTTATGACCTACTATACTATGACTTTTTTGTGGAAGAAATTTTGACATACTATACTATACTATGACGTTTTTATGGGAGTTTTGATGACATACTATAGTATGCCTTTTTTATGGATAATTTTATGACATACTATACTATGACTTTTTTGATTAAATATTTTATGACATACTATATTATGACTTTTTATGGAAATTTTGATGACATACTATACTATGACTTTTTATGGAAATTTTGATGACATACTATACTATGACTTTTTTGATGAAATATTTTATGACCTACTATACTATGACTTTTTTGATGAAATATTTTATGACCTACTATACTATGACTTTTTTATGGTATGTCATCAAAATGTCCATACAAAGTCATAGTATAGTATGTCATAAAATATTCAATAAAAAGTCATAATTTTGTAAATGATAAAATTTTCCATAACAAAGTCATAGTGTAGTATGTCATCAAAATTTTCCATACAAAAAGTTATAGTATAGTATGTCATAAAACATTTCATCAAAAAAGTCATAGTATATCATGTAATTTTCCATAAAAAAAGTCATAGTACAGTATATCATAAAATATTTAATCAAAAAAGTCATAGTATAGTATGTCATTAATTTTTCCATCAAGAAGTCATAGTATAGTAGGTCATAAAATATTTCATCAAACAAGCCATAGTATAGTATGTCACAAAATTTTCCATAAAAAAGTCATAGTATAGTATGTCAAAATATTTCATAAAAAGTCATAATATAGTATGTCATAAAACATGTCATCAAAAAAGTCATAGTATAGTAGGTCATAAAATATTTTATGAAAACAGTCATAGTATAGTATCTCAGGAAAACATAAGAAGAAACCTGAGAAAGAGCAACAGAGGAGGAATCGCTCATTCATTATGGACACAGTAGATGTTGTGTATACCTAGTAAACCCAAAAGACACATGGAAAATTAGGTTGACAATATTATAGTCAAAACTTTGGATGTTACTTTTGTTATTTTCTACCCATATTAACATATCTTATCTGAGCCGTCCTTATTGTAAATGCTGCAGGAGCATGCTAAAGGAATTACTGTATCTGGGTCACTTACAGACTCAAAATATTTCGCAGGCAGCAAAGTTGAAATAAATTTTTAAATCTGCACTCACAATCACATTCGACCTTCATCAGAGCGAACATGAGGCAGCAATGGACAGTAACCAATCTGAGTCTAATCATGCTCTTTTTCTACCAATCTGGACTTATTAATGTTTTCAGCACCTTGTCAAGACTGAGCCAGGTGGAGTGGCAGCTATTCTACATCATCTATATTTGAGAAGCTAAAACCAGCAAATATTTGTTTTGGGTTTTTTTTTGTTTAAAAAATGACTGATAAACAAACAACAACCCAATGATCAAAACATTTGCAGATTATTTTTTAGACAATCGACTAACTGATTCCTCAGTTTGAAGGTCTGAATATTTTAAATGCATAACTAATACTTGTAATTGAGTATTACTATTACTGGAATGATTAGAATATTTCCTCCACATCAGTAAAATACACAGAGAGCATGTGAGTGAAAACAGACAAAGATCATTTTGTTTCAATACGTTCAACACATTTATTTGAGCAAATGTATCAAATTATTAGTTTCAATTTTACATCCATAAAATAAATTCTTCACAGTATACACTTTCAAAAAATCGTAAAGGTTAACATCACATTTGGCAAACTAATTTCTAGACAACAGATATTTAGAGAAATTTACAGTGGGGGAGGTCTGAACGACTTGCCTGCTATCCAAGATGAAAATATGGACAGATGGCACCAGCTCTCCCTCCTCCACCTGCCAATGTTCAAAATCCAAAAAGTCCGTCTGAATGAGTAGCTCATCATGACTCTGACAGGCTTTCAGGGTTTGTGTCAGTGCAGGCTTCACCATTCTTACTCAAAATGTTGATCACAAAACAAAAATTTGTGGGAACAAAAACAATTACAGGGCAATTTCTCAAAGGGTAAAATCTGTTGTCAAAATCATGGGACACCACGTCTTGTGACACTCCACTAAACAGAACAGAGGAAAACTATAAATAAGCAAATCAACAACTGAAATTACAGAACTTAAAATAAAACAATGCTCAGCCTCAGAAGCTCACATGACCCACTAAAAAGGAGCCTATCATGTCATTAATTTATGGCACTAGATAACAAGAATCTTCAGTAAGTGCTGCTCAGCTTCTGGGAGCCTTCATAGGGCAACGCTCCCCTCTACAGGCCAAGCATGTTCACTGCAGCATTAGTCTAATTCTTCATTCACAGCCATGACAGGGACTAGCATTAGTTTACCATAAACTTACATTCAACCCTTGTTGTAAGTTTGAAAAAAATAAATCAAAGAAATTTCAATAATATAAGACCACATAGGAGTTAATTCAATAAATGAAGACAGAATGTGAAAAGCACCAACTGCATTGCAAATTGTGCCTCTTCTGACAGATTGTTATTCCAAAGTTTCTTTACTTCTTCTCCTTCTTCTTGTCCTGAAAGAGGCAAAATAATCAGTTATAACATGTAACAACATCACTCTTAGATATAAAGGTTATGATAAAATAAAAACAAACATTTTCTCACTTTACTAAAGTCTGTATCGAGCCATGCAGATAAATGTGGTTTCACAGAATGTGCTGATAGTTTGAAAAGCTGTGTCATCACTCAAATACAATCAGTCTTTACTTCAGTAAAAGGACAAACTTCATACTGTAAAAATATCCCATTTTAAGTAAGAGCACTGCATTCAAAATCTAACTCAAGTACAAGTACTAAGGTATTGTTAACAAAATGACCTTAAAGTATCAAAGGTTAAAGTACATGTTCTGACTGATAAATCATTATTATATATTATTATTAAAACAGTAGTGCTGATGCATCAATGTATAAGCAGCATTTCACTGTTGTATGTGGAGCTATCTTATTTGCTTTATATACAGTCAGGCCCCATTCAGAGGGTCACATGACACATCTGAGGGTCATGAGAGGATTAAGGGAGAGGAAACAAGAAAAAAGTTCTCCTTCAGAGATGTATAAACATATATATTTATAGTACTTTACTTTTCTTGCTTTTTTGTGGAATTTTGGATACATTTACCTCTTAGGACTAAAAACAATCACTTAAATGAAAACATCTGACATGTTTAGAGGAGACATGTAGTTTTAGTTAAACTGATAAAAACTCAGACATCTGAAACATGACAGGAGGCCTCAACTACACACTCATTTTTGTGTTAGAGGCTAAATCAATCTAAAAGGTAACTGGTGACTAAAGCGGTCTAATAAATGCAGTGGAGTGAAAAGTCCAGTATTTCCCTCTGAGGTATAGTGGAGCTGTAGTGGATCATAAAATGGAGATAATCAAGCTTAACACATCAAAACTGTCTTTAATAAATATAAAATATGTTCCATTGATTAAACAAGTGTCTCTCCAACTTTTTTCAATATGGTACCCCTTTGAAATACCTACGGACCACTGCAACACACTGCAGTGTCAGTGTCTGATTTACTTAACAGCAAACTTGTAACTGAAAAATACTGAAATGTTGATTTTGATATGTTTAAAATCACTAAAATCACTTAATTCATGGCAAACCAATGTTTCACCACCTTTGTCTCAACAGCATCTTATTTATAAGTTGTAACTTACAATTTAGGAGTATAATTATTTTAGGAATTATGCATGACATATTTTTTAAATTAACATTTTTAAAAAATCTCATGTACGCCCTGCAGTACTCCAAAGTACCCCTAGGGGTACACATGCCCCCATTTGAGAAACACTGGATTAAAGTACACAACAATGTGTAACAAAGGTAAAATTAGCTCCATTTTTACCAACTACATTTACTTGCTACATATACAATAATGCATCAGTAATAAGAAACTCACAGGGAGGATTTTCTGCAGCAAAAATACTTTTACTTTACTAATAATACCCTAAATGTAATATTTTTAGGAACAACTAAAGATTCACTATTAATTAATCTTCCAATTAAACTTTCAACTAATTGTTGAAATTGTCTATGAAAGATCAAAAACATTTGGGAACCACTGGTTCACTCTTTACCAATGCACTGTATTTTAGAATATTATTATATGTCTTTGTAATGAAAATCTAAAAAAGTTAGTGGTAACTAAATCTGTCAAATAAATGTAGTGGAGTCAAAAGTGTGATATTTCCCTCTATAGTGCAGAGGAGTAGAAAAATAAAGTAGCATAAAATGGATATAGTTAAATACAGTGCAAATACCTCAAGTAAATGTGCTCACATCATGAAATACAATCATGGTGAATTAAATTTCTGTTTTTTTGCACAAAGAAGTTAAAAATCAACTAAAGTAAACTTCTTTCAATATGAACTATTTCTCTGGTAAAAAAAAAGGTATTTCCAATCAAAAAAGTTAACAGGTATCTGTTGATTAGAAACCAGAGCAGGGTTTATAGAAACATATGTTGCCACTGAGTTATCTAAGTGTCATTTGATTTCTAATTATTTTGTGCACCACAAACTAAATAAATTCCCTCACCACCACTGTGCTGCGGTGGTCCCAAGTTTCAGATATCTCAAAACCTCAGCACATAAAACCAAAAATATCTGCATGGTTTGATTCTTCGAGAGCTGGATGAGAAAATATGTTGTTTTGTGATCTCTGTGAGCAAACAGTTTCAAAACAGCATTTATTCTCAGTACTGTTAAAAAAAGTAAAATGCAATAAAAAGAGCATCAACTTATGTAACAGTGTAATTTATTTCCTGTCTTTCTTGTAGCAGCATTAGAGGTTGAGGCTGGAAATATCCTATATTTTGTTATTATCAACAAATCCCATGAAAACAGCAAAACCAACAATGGATTATAGACCGTCTCTCAATACTTTCTGATTTACTGTCTGAGGCTCTCAGCCCAAAGCCTGATGCTTCCTACTAAAATGTACATCTTTAAAAACCTGTCACAAATATGGAGTTTCATTTAGAGTGTTTAGAGTTTCATTTAGACTCTAGATGATGTCAATTCATAATTCATAGGTTTTGTATTTAACTTTTTACCAGTATTAATCATTTTTACTGCCAAGGGAAGAACAGGTTGCAATCTAACTTATTATTTACAGATGTATAAAGATGCGAAAGAAAGATGTCCAGCTGATGACCCGGTAACAGCAGATCATAGAAATAGATTCATTCCATTTCCTTTTAGTAAACGCTAGAACCCACCACATGTAACTAGCATACTGCGCAATCAACACGGACATACTGCACACACGTCAACACATGAAAGAGAGAAACAGAAAAAAATAGAGAAAAAGAAAAAGAAAAGGAGCATCTTTGCCTCTACATCAGCTACAGTTAAGTGAGTCTATAGGTGTGAGGACAGCAGTGTTAACTCAGACGTCTTCTGGTTCTTTTTGTGCATTTCACAACACTGACTCACATCCACACTGATTCCACTGATACTCAGACTCCACACCTTGTTCACTTTCACATTTAACTGAGTCACATCTGTTGAATAAATGTCTTTTGTTTATCACTGAAATGGTGTGTTACTCATATCTGTCATGGCCTGGTGATGAGTCCTGACAAAACAGTTTAGTCTATACGTAGATTATTGCTATGTTTGGACCTATAGGTTGGTAGTCCATATACTAAATAGTGTAACCAGTGATGGAAGAACTACTTAGATCTGTAAGTTAATTGAAGTACTTATGTGACATAGAAAAAAATAGAAATATTTTTGTTGTAGATTTGGTGTATTCCTGAGTGTCTCCAGCACTAGGATGGTGTATGTCGGATCAACTCAATATAAACTACAATATCCATGTTCTCCATAATGAAGGAAAGTGTCATCCAGAGCAGCAGTGTGTCTCACTGATGTGCTTTTAATACTTTCTGAACAACAATAGAGCTCTATGGCACAGAGCAATAAAACAATACTTGTTAGTAGGATCACTTCATTGTTGCTTCTGGTCTTTTCACGGGATTTGTTGACACTAAGAAAAACACACAATACAGACTTATCTTTTAACTTTTGGAAGAGAAGAATTAGGCAGAACACTCTGTACCTTATCGTTCATGGCGAGGATGACCATCAGTTTCCTGAAGATGGTGATGAAATCAAGGAACAAGTCCACACAGTGCCTTCAAAAAACAAAGTAAACTTTTGTCAAAACAAAAGCAAAAACTACAAAACATCACCATACATTATTCAGTATCTATAAAATAAAGCCCATCCTGTTGTAAAAAGATATCCGCTCATCATCTAAGGGCTCAGCTCATGCAGCAACTTGGTGCATACTCTTCTTATTTTTGAAACAAATGCAAAGTCATACACCTCATTATAGGGTGATGTATTTGCATGTTATTTGGTTATGAGAAGGTGTGAGCCAACAGATAAGGGAACACAAGTCCTCACCAGATGTAGTCCTTGTCTCCGTTCTCTGCTTTCTCAATGATGAGCTGAGTGTCAAACAGCACGAAGCCGCACATGATGAGCAGTCCGAGGTACATGTGTGCCTGCAGGAAACAATGAAAACCATGTATTACACAGAAACATTGTGACACAGAGCTGATCAAATGTGTAGTGAGGATTGGTGCCACTCGGTTCAGCTACCTTAAACAGCATCACAGATCCAAAGAACATGTTCATCACAGACATCAAGAACAGGAGGGAGAGGCCAGACATCAGTGTACCTTAGAAGAATAACGAGTGAAGGGAAATGACATGTATGGGTTAACTACGCCGAGAGAAATTCTGCATAATGGCCAGAAAATTGCTGTAATTTAAAGTATTGTTGTAAATGGTTGAGAAGAGAAGTTCACAGTGTAATGGGTCACAACATTAATTAACTGCCTTTACCTCCAAGGAACAGGTAGCTCCTGCGTTTGGCATAGAGGGCGCTGAGAGTGAAGCAAATGAAAATCACAGAGGTTCCCATGAAAGCCGTCACGATGATGCTGAGGAGAAACAAACAGAGGTTCAAGATTCAAGCTTTTTTTGTCATATATTCAACATATTTCCAGGCTTTGTTGCCCTCTTCAGTAATGTGCTTTTTATAAAAACACAACATATATAAAAATGCAAAACATGAACAACAAAAACATATATACAAAGTAGACAATGCGCAAATAGAAAATATTAAATATAGTGAGGACAAATGTGGTGCAAATATAGAGGGATCCAGGGGAATGGTGAGCGTATGAACATAAAATCAGAGGTGTAGTCCGTCAGGATTGTTGGCAGTGTCCTACAAGTTTTCAGTAAATATACACTTTCAGTAAAACGTGCAGACCAACAGCCACGTGGGTACCATCTCATAATGTTCTTCTCAGTTTTATAATGTTTAACTTTTAGCCAGCTAACTGTCAGCTGCTTGTGTGAAGGGGTTAAACACTGAGTAACCTTTCACATACCTCGGATTAACAGCGATGACAAAGTCCAGTGTGGGGCCAAGGCCAACACCTGGAGAGAAAGAGAGGAAGGCAAACACTGCTTTTAGACCACATGTACACTTGCATGACTGCAAATGAACAAGGACTGCTCTGTTCACATGCAAAGTGACAATTTTGCCTGTGACATGCCCACAAAATGATCACCTTACCTGTGAGGAAGGCAAACCCTGCCAGGATAGCCAGTCTCTTCTTCTCTGTCTCCGAGTTGTGTGGCGTCATGGCAAGCCAAAACATCATCCCCAGGGAGCCAAGCACAGACAGCAACCCACCCTGAGAACAAGGGCACTAGGTTAAGATGGGGCAGGAAAAATTGTGACTATGAAAGGGCGCATTCAAGGTTTCTCCTCTTCTTTGAAAAAAAGTGCAGTGTAAAATTCTTCATGACTGGAGGGTGAATATAGTTGAACCAACAAAATCACTGTTAGATGCTAAGATAAGACAGAAAAAGGCCCATCAGACAAATAAAGTTCTGTCTTATCTTCACATCTTATGGTGATTCTGATTCAAATTAAAGGCCTCTACCCTGACTTGTAGTTCTTGGTATCATCTTAAATGTGCCTGCAGTGCTCCTGATAGACAAGAGAATGCACTATAAATGTTCCTATAGCTGGCACCAGTGTATCAGACAACGGACCAAATTAGAGCAGCTCTGGTGTTATGTTTGGTTTGTTGCTTTTATGTCACTTCTAAACTTTTCTTTTCCCAATATGATAACTCTTTTTGGCTGTATCCATGTTGTTGAAAAAAAAATGAATGTCACCATCAGTCTATTATTCATAATTCATTCAGTATCTTCCAAAACTGTAAATCCCAAAATAACAACAAGGAAATGTTGGTAACAAAGATGGGCTCAAGTATGAGGCTGCAGAATATCCTACACATGCAGTCTGTTTAGCTCAGTCATACTTCCTTCTGCGGGCACATACACTGTTGTCACATGAAACATGAATAGAGTTGAATAAACAACAAAGAATGTGCTCAGTGGCTGAGTGGTGGCAATGCTCACTGTTAACTTCACAAAAGACATAGACTTCAGGGTTTCTAACAGAGTCTTATAGTGGAGGTGGATCTTACCTAAAATAAGAAAAACACCCCTGCTAAAAAAATATTTAAAAAAAAATACACCTTCCTAAAATTAAACACGAATTTTTGGGGAAGAGGAGCCACGATATTTCTCAGCAAATGCCATTTATTTACTTGTTGTGGGCATTGTTTAAAACATCTACTAACTAAATGAATCATTAAAAGAGATGCATTAGGATACAAGCAGTTTACCATCTTTGCAGAACAAACACGAGACTTGAAAATTAAATATAGCATCATTTTGCTATTCTGAAAACTGTGACATATGTATCTGCACAGTAAATTGCTTCAAGCACCAAGCAACTAAAACCTGTAGCACAAATTCAGTTAGATATGGTACGATGAATTATTCTTGTCTGTACTCTCCTCAAGGGCACAATTTGCATTAATATCCTGACCTGAACAGGTGAGCAGGCTGCATCTTGTCAAAATTACCTGAAAGAGGCGTGTGACGACATGGACGTAGGAGCCAGCAGCAGCCACAAACATACAAACTGCCAGGCTGGAGTACACATTCTTCAAGTGCACCTGGGTAGAATGAGATCTACAACGACGACAACAACAACAAAAAAAAGCCATTTACAATAAACAAGGCAGGGCGTTGGACACTTGAGCAATTGTAGATAAACACATGACAGATTCAAATCTACTGCATGCTTACGTACATTTGGGAGAACTTGAAGAGGGAGTCAAAGTTGATGTTGCGGTCAAACACGTTCATGATGTAACCAGGGATCAAGATCTGAATAGATTCTTGAACGGACGAGGTCTCCTCTGAACAGAAACGCACATGATTACACTTTAGCCCCACCAAGAGTTTTAGAACCATTAACTGTTTTATTTAAAGGTAACACAGGCACAGACAGTTGTTAATAATCAGCTGTAGAAAGCAACTGGCTACTTGTACTCAAATACAACTTTGAGGTTCTTTATATGAGCATTTGCATTTGCATTATAAATAGCTTTATATTTCTGATATACATTTCAAAGGGAACTACTGTCCTTTTGACTCCACTGCATTTATTTAAACAGATATAGCTGCTTATAATATTAAGATTTTGCAAACAAAGTTCATGATTACTTACTAAATATGGTAGATTAAACTACCCAAAAATAGCAATGATCCAGTACTCTAAAAATAAAACACTGACAGGGACCATTCAACATGATGATTACTTTTTATCTAATTGCTTTTATTTCTGTACTTTTACTCAACTTAAATAGTCCAATTCTGAATGAAGAAAGTACACTTGGGTATATTTTGGTAATATGTATCGATACTTTTATTTAGAAGTATAATCTGTACACAGCTTCCAACACTCATGATACACACGCATGTCGCAGATTAGAAGTGCGTAGTTAAATTAGATGACGGTTTGCTACATTAAAATGCACAACAGGTTAACGCTAACGTTAACTGACAGCCGTTGAAGTGTTTAGCAAGCTAACAAGGTGCCAATTCGTGTTAATAACGGTATTTTGTTAGCTAGCAACAAAAATCAAAAGCAACGCGTTTAATTTATGAAAAGAAATGTTGTATGAAACATGGCAGAGCAGTCGAGCAACAGCCCCAAACTGTTTGACGCATGAGACTATCATATTATCAGCTAACGTTGCTAGCTAGCTATGCGTTAAATAACGTTAATGAGCAGCTTGGCTAAACTAAGCTAACGTTTAGCTAAACCGTTAACACAGTTCGACGCTTCGGTCATTCCTCAGAAGAAAACGATAGTAATGTTACAGCTGCCATTAAAGCGAAACACCGAGGGCATAGTACAATATGCTAACATCTGATAGCTCTTACCTCTCCTCTGCTACGAGCTAACTGTTTGGCAGCCTTTCTTCTTCCTGCTATACTTTTTTTTTTTTTTTTTACAACACAAACAGTACGTGTCAGTCAGCACACATTATGTCACCATGGAAACGCCCAGAAAATTGTAGTCCTCATTCACTTTAGGTAAAGTACGATGTTTTTCCACGTCGCTAATAGACATGAATAAACAAAGTATCTGTTTTATAATTCCTGAACATTGAACCAACATTGTTGTTATTCTTTACAGATAGACTTTAATCAAGAAACACTGAAATATATATTAAAGGCTACTTCCGGCCGGGTGTGTCACAGAGTAATGTGCCCGGTACACCTAAAATGGCCGACTCATAAATTTAGCTGCACCATTCCGAACTGCCACCAGCAATTTTCTCCTGTCTTTCCCAACCTGGACAGTTAAAGTTTCAACCTTCCGTTTATTAAACGCTATGAAACAAAGACCAGCTTCATCTTTTATAACATGTTTCTAATCAAACTAAATGCCGGAGCTGTGTTCGTAGGAGTGTAATCAGTTGGGATCTTGATGAATCACTAGGACTTGTGGTGCAACTGCATGCAACGTGTTTTGAATACTTTAATGAAAGGGGGACATTTTACCATAGACTGTAAAATTATAATATTACACAACTTAAATTTAGTCTATATTTAAACTGTTGGTTAAGAAACACCAAAATGTATGATGAATTAGTATCTTTTAATACACATTCAGTGGTGGAAGAAGTAGGCTGCCCTCTTAACTTAACGTTTAAAGTTTTGGTATAACCGTGAAACAAAGGGTTGCCTCCACTATATCTTATTTCTAATCAAACTACATGCAAAGCAAATGTAAATAGGCAGGAGTGTAAATGAGTGTGAAGCTTGATATGAATCATTTTGACCAGAGGGAGCGTGTATATTAAGTAGGCTACAACTACTCAGGTGGACTTCTGTCTGTAGGCTACTTGAGTACAAATTCAATGTACTTGTACTTTACTTGAATATGTCAGTTCTTATGTACATTTACAGCCTGGATCTACCTTACTAAACTACACTTAAGAGGCAAATATTTTACTTTTTACTCCACTACATTTGTTTGAAAATTGTAGTTACTGCACAGACTAGAATTTTTCATAGCCTTGCTGTTCAGTGGAAATGTCCAAATTCATTGATTTTGAGTTTAAATGTTTGTGATAAACTGAAAGATGAAATGCTCCTTTATGTGTTGAGAAGATGATTCTTCTTCATAGACAAAAGAAACTATTTCAAACCCTTGTGGACCAGCTCTAAAATGCATCATCACAAAGTTGAAAACAGGGCTGTTTTTCTGACACCAAGAAAAGTTGACTTTTTAGAGCTACATGATTCTCACAGGACAGCCACACTACAAACATATGATGATTTTATAGAATATAATGCATTGCTGTAGATTAAATTACCCACAAGTAAGCACAACCTTAAACATCTGAAGTTATAATATTAAACCGAAAGCATCATATATAATAGTAAAACACTGAAAGGAAACATTTTACTGCAAAATGAGTACTGTTACTGTCAGACTTTAGATACATTCTGCCTTTCATACTGACATGCTTTTAATTTTATAAAATTTGGATACAGGACTTATACTTGTAATGTAGTATTTTGCAGTGTGGTATTAGTATTTTTACATAAAAAAGGATTTGAAAACTTCTCCCACCACTGATTACCACTTATGGCACAACTGCATGCAACATATTTTAAATATTTTCATTATAAAACAACACTTTCACATAAACCTATCTAGATTACTATGTTTAGATTTATAACGTTGGTAATAAGTTTAATTTAATTTAAGTTTAATTTAAGTTTCTGTATTCATATAACTCTCTTGAAAACAATTAGCAATACCACAATGTAAATATAGTCTATTCAAAATTTTAATTTAGCACAAAAGTTTTAGTAACCAAATACATTAAAAGTACAAGTAAATATTAGATAAGCAATATTCAATTATGATAGAAAAAGTAATACTACTATTTTAAAACTGTTGGATAGTTGACCCTGTAACAATGCAACAGAAATTGCAATCTAAAAACTGTCCGATAAAATCAGTGGAGTAAAAAAGGTATGATAATTCTCTTTGAGGAATTATGAAGTTACATTAAATAGAAGTCCTCAACCTAAGTACTTCAGAGTTGTTTTAAACTACAGTACTTGAGTAAATGAAAATTGTTTAATTACATTACTGTACGTGGTAAAAATGTAAAATTATATCAAATGTGTTTTAAGTGGCAAAAATGTGATTATGCTCATGTGAGCATATAGTACAGCAATAGATAAAAAAAAGCTCCTAAATAAAAAAAACTTTTTACCAAAAAGTAGTAACCCAGAGATGCAAGTAAAACTTGATTGTACATCTTTAAAACCAAAAATAATTTATATATATATATATATATATATATATATACATACTTAATTGTTGTATAAAAGGACAGCAGCAAAAGTTATTCTATACTTTCAGACTAATGAAGAAATGGGTCCTTAGTGTCACAGAAAAACACACACAAAGACGAAGTAACATAACCAATTTTTATTTTAAAATAAAAACTGGTAGCACCTTGTCACTTTGAGTTTTGGTCAGATCAGGTAGACAAAATCAGTGATTTATTCTAATAAACAAAGACAAATTGTGACTGTCAATACAAATACTTTTGGTCATCACAACTGGTACAATTTCATTGTCATATTTTACTAGTTAACATGCAGGCAATAATTGCATCAGACATTAAACATCATAGAAAAACCATATTACCCAGGAAACATAACCCCACAAAATATCTCTTGTACTGAATTAAAAATGGAAAAAGAAAATGTTTTCTTGCATGACTGAATCTTGGATTTACATCTGTTTGTGTATTTCATTGAACTGATCAAGTTGTTGAATTATCTATGAACTTTGACAGGAAAGTATGTGTTAATTAGGCACAGATAAAACAGTTTAACACAAGGCCAGCCTCAAAGTAGGCAAGTGGATTACAATACAAAATGTTATGCAGTAAGAACTACTGGACAATACAGATTTTTGGCCAATAAATATAGAAAAACACTCACACATGCTAAAAAAATCAAATTTGATATTTTCAAGTGTTGCACTGCAAGTACCACAGCCACATGGCATTACACTTGCTCTTGACAGTGTTTTCTCACGCTCAGCATGACACATCAGAGTGTGTAGGCCTACAAATCTCTTTTCAGGCAGAACACCATTCTCTGTCCGAATTTCAAAGGCACAGTTTTTACTTTCAGCACTGTCAATATAAAACAAGTGCAAGTTGTTTGTCATATATTTATAAAAGAAAACACATAGTAACAAATGAATTATTATTAAACATTGACTGAAAACTGTGGCATTTACGGTCATCCTATGTGCCAACGTATTCCAGTGTGTCTGCTTTCAACGGACCATCAAAGACAAGATTTCACCCTGTTTACTTAACTTATATCAAATATCAATCTGAACACTAATGATGTATATCTGCATGTTTTTGTAGAAATCATGTTATAGTACAAATAAGTAAAATGCACTTTTGTTCCGCTGCTCATTTACAGGTAAATAAGGCTACAGTAATGTTTACATCTGCTGAATGCAATTATTGACTGGCTACTCAGGAGGTACTGTCCATGTCATTACAGAACTGGGTTGCATAGAGAAACCATGTTCACTGTTTAAAAATAGATTTCCTTATAAAACAACCTATAAGAAGAAATCAATTAATGTATAAAATCTGGTGGAAAATTTCAAAAAAGAGCTGATGTTAGTTTTTGTTGTTCCTTAAAAGGCACACGAATTTAAAAAAAAAAAAAAAAAAAAAAAAAAACAAGGTCCAAAAGTCAAGTCAGGGCAGGCAGGCTTCTGCTTTGGCAAATGAACCACTTTAATATTCTAACTGGAGTGATTGTGATGGGATTGCTTTGGTTGTTGTTTCCCGCTCCTTCAAATAGTGGTTGTCAAT